TTCTTCGTCTCCCATATTTATTGAATGTTTAATTCAGTTCATTATGATCTTTAAATACTTTTTGTTTGGAGTTTATTTTTTATAAAACTCTAAAGTTCTCTCTTTTTTTATTTAGTTCAACTCTTCTTAGATTTATTAGTTCTGAATGAATAATCTTTTTATTCTTGAATTTTTATTAAAAAATAAATTAAGAATAGTAATAAAAAATGTTATTTATCACAAGAATTAACAGTAAAGGAAATATTATTTGGTTGTTGTTTCATTTCAATTTCATTGCTCTTGTTGTTTGTATCGTCAAGTGATTTTGGTTTACAAAATTCAGAAAAGTATTCATGTGCCTCAACACTTCCTTCTTGATAAATCCTTCTAGGTTTTCCATATTCTGTTAGTGGATGTTTATGAACAACTTCTTGAATAATTTGATATTGTTTAGGAGCAATAGCTCTGTTACAGCTAAATTAAATAAATATTATGTACAAATTATCTTAGAATAATATAAAAAAACAAACAAATTACGAAGTAATAATGGAGTGATTGCTAATATTACATAAAGTAAAATAAAAAGATATGTTGATGGTTGAGAAAATATAATTGAAAATGCGTTTGTTGACAAACCACGCTTTGACATTTGAGGTACAAAGGAGACAAGTAAAATACAAACAAGAGAAAGTATGAAAGATACAAAGAATCCAAGAACTAAAAAGATGTTCCAGCTTTTAATAGATAATGCCATTGTTGTTAATATTGTTAATGTTGAAGTAATACTAATTAAAATTGAGAAACAACCATATCCACCAGTTTTTCCATGTTCATCAAATACGTCATTTGTTATAATTACAGAACTTGACAGAAGATATAACATAACACTTTGATAAACAGCTAATACAAGCCAAGAAATATATGAAGTAATTGAAGTAAAATTATTTCCTTTTAAGATTTCTTTATGTGCTTCAGGATAATCTCTCGCCGAAAAGAAAGGAATATCAATTTCAAAAGCTCCAATAAAAACAGGAGGCATTGAAGTCATAATCATATTAAATAAAGTAATAATTAAATCCTCATATAAAGATTGTCCACTAAATGCATTTTGAATTCCAAACCAGAATTGCATTAAAATAAATGCAACATTCTTATAAAATGACAATTTTACAATCAAAGTATTTCTTCTAAGTGCTTGTCTTCCATGGAAATAAATTAATTTTTGTAAATGTCTAAATTTCCTAACAGCATAATCACTGGTTTGAGCAGCCTGTGTACCTTCTTTTCCAAAAATTCCAACCCCAACATCACTTTCTTTAATTAATGAAATATCATTTCCTCCATCTCCAATTCCTAGACATACTTTTCCTGTTCTATTTTTTGCATTTTTAATTATTTCCCCTTTGATAAGTGGTGTAACTCTACAACAAATAACTGCTTTTGCTCCAAGTACTATATTCCAAAAATCATCTAATTTTCCAACTGCATTATATACTCCAAAATCAAAGACAACTGAATAGTCTTCATTTAATACTCCATTTTTTAATACCTCAACACAATTATCTGTTGTCATGTGAATAACTTTTTCTTGTTGTGTTAATCCACATGTAGATCCAATGTTTATTGCTGTTTCGACTTTATCTCCAGTAATCATCCATATTCTCATTCCTCCTCTTCTTAATGATTGAATTGTTTCAGGTACTCCATCTTGTAATTTATCTTCAACAGCAGAAACTCCAAGTAATGTAAAGTCTTTTTCAATTTCACTTATGGCAGCATTTACTGCTTCATCTCTACCAACAATAAGCGATTTAGCATTATCATATTTAATCATCCATTCAATAAAAACAGAGTCAGGAATTATTTTATATCCAAGAACTAATGTTCTATATCCTTCTCTAGCAAATTTATTTACATCCATTTGAGCTTCTTTTACTTTTTCACCTGTTTTCATTAATGGTAATGTAGTCATATCAGCTCCTTTTAAATATAATACTAATGTGCCATCCCACATCCTCACTAAAATACTCATTCTTTTTCTGTTACTATCAAATGGAAAAACTGCTTGAATATCAACTTGATGTTCTTCTCCAGCTATAACTAAAAACATTGACTTTTGTGTTCTTTTAGTGAAAATATAACCATTTAGTGATGCTTCTTCACAAAGAGCAATTTCATCTGGTGATCCTGATTGAAATGTTATTTTTTTACCTTGAATATTTGAAACCGCTTCATGGCAAATAGCCATACATCGAATAAATTCATCCATCTTTTTTAATATACTTTCATTTTTATTATTTGAATTATTGTCATCTTCTGTTGAACAAAATAATATTTGGGAATTATCATCTTTCTTAGATAAACTTTGTTTTCTTGATATCTTTTCTGATGTTATCCCAGTCATTGGATGAGAAAATAATGTTAATGTTAATTTATTTGGTTTATATTGTGGATATTCATTTGATCTTTTTTTCTTTACAGTAATTAAATGGGGATTTATTTGGGAGTTTTGAGGTTGAGTAGTATTTTCATTTTCTATAGTTGAAATAGGATTTGATGTTTCATTTATAATACCTTCATTGTCTTTATTAATTAACATAATTGGAATTTGTGGTTGTGAATCTAAAGAATTTCTTGGCATATTAACACCAAAATATGAGTCATGAAAGAAACTATTTCTTCTAAAAGGCTCATTGTTTTCATTAAACTTTGTTACTGGTCTTCTTTTAATTGGTTTATTCCAAGAATCAAACGATGTTATATTTACTTCTTTATCCTCACTTTCTTCTACTAAAGTTGTTGTTCCTTTTTCTCTAAGACCATCATATGTCATACTTCTTGAAATAAATAAAGACTGTGCTGCTGTTGGTATAGCGCTTGACATAAGTGATTCAGGAATAGAAACCCCAACAAAATTATTTCCAACATCACTTTCAAATAATGTTCTTTCTGCTTTAAATTTATTTATATTTTCATTATTCATATTATATGCTATTACACCATTTCCTGTTTCTTCAAACATATACCCATCAATGGAACATTTAATAAATTTCATTTCATTTTCTGTTAATGTTCCTGTTTTATCTGAAAGAACGTATTCAACTAATCCTAATTCATCATTTAATGTCCCAGTCCAAGGCATACATCCTTTTGTTTCATTTTCTCCAATAGTGTTTAATGTATTAATTTCTAAATCCGAATCAAATGACATAAAAAGCATTTGAAACATTTTAGAGAATTCTAATGAAACGAGACATGAAACTGGTACTAAGAATGAAAACATATTTAAGAATGAAAAAAAGTGAAGAACAGTTTGTTTCCAAACATTGTCAGTATCTGGTAAATACCAATTTTCTCCTTTACGATAAATATATGAATATGTAAAATAACATACTGTTGATGCTAATATAACAATAAAATCAAATGCTAGTGCAATAGCAACAAAACGATTAAACTTACTATTAGTATGACTGAATTTAATTTTAGGTTTTGATGAATTTTTTGATAATTTAGTATCAAACCCACAATAGACAATAAATAATAATAATTTTTCTGTATTTCTAATTGTACATCCATTTGGAATAAAATTTTTTTCTGACACACTATAACTCTGTGACTCTATTTCAAATGTCCCTACAAAATGATCAAAATTTGGATCTGGTTGTGTTGTAAGAAAATCTCCTTTTAATTTACAAATATCTTCGTATGACTTATCAATAAAATGAGATGGAACTAATCTTTGTTTAAGATTACTTTCACCATCTAACTCAGATGTTTCAATAAATACAAGACCATCTTCATTTGTTGTTTGTAATGGAATACCATCAGCTGGAATTCTTGAGTTATTTGGAAGAACCAAAATATCTCCTGGATATATCTGACTTGCTTTGATTTTAATTAAATTTCCATCAGTTTGTAATTTATCATATTCTACTTTATTTAATTTTTTGTCTGCCCTAAACTTTCTCTATACTTTGTTAGAATCATTTACTATTACTTTAAATGAAGAAAAAAAATTTAACAAACAAATTCATCAAGTAACTCTCTAATACATGAAAATCCTAACATAATACATACAGGTACTATTGAAGCAACTGGACTTGCTGCTGATAACTGTGGAATACAGGATAAAATTGCAACAATTAAGAAGAATAAGTTAATGAAATATTTAAACTGATTAAATAAAAAAACTGGAATAAAACTCCACCAATAATATTTTGTTGTTTTAACAGAATTATCAGGAAATCCTTCCTTTTTATTTCTTTGATAATCAAATAAATGAATAGTCGGATATCTTAATTCAGATTTTTCAGGTTTTTTTTGTTTCACCTTAGCCGACATTGACAATGTTCTTTTTTAGTTTAAAAAAAAAATAATGAAGTTCTATCATAGACAATCAAACTAATGTTTCTCATTAATACTTATCCTTCTATCTCACTAAAACCTTTTACTGGTAATGAGAATATTTTTGTTTCTTCATTTATTGGTTACCACGTGTTTATTCTATAAACGTATTTTTAAATCAACCTTTCTTTTGTTTTCTTTTTTTGACATTAGTTTGATTCTTGAGTTTTACAACTGATTTTCAAAGTCATACTCAAAAATCTTAACGAAAAGATGTTGTTCTCTTAAAATGAATAATGGCTTTATACCAAGAAGATTAATTAATTAAATTATCTATCGTATTTAACACAATAACAGAAAGTCCTTATCAAAGAAAAAGTTATGGAAAGGTAGTAAACAAAAAGAAAAAAAAATTGTAAATAATAATGAATAACGCCAAAAACACAACATTACAATTCAAACACACTACTACCTTTTGTTTTAGATTATAGAAACTTAATCAAAATTTTACCATTAAAAATTTCTTAACTTAAAATAAATAAAAAAGTTATTCAATTGAAATTAAACTAAAACAATGTTTAGTTAACTAAAAATGAACAACTAATAGAATTAAATAAATAGTATATCTTAACAAATTAATTAGACAAATCAAACTAATTATAATATCTATCTTCACATATTTAACTGAATTTTAATTAAAAAAAGAAGTACATTATTTTTGTGTAAAAATGATTCATTCTACTTAATTAATGAAAGAATTACTACTTTTTTATTTCATCGTTTGTTGTTTTTAGAAACATTAAATTATTATTCAAATAAGTTAATCATTATACTTTTAAAACAAAAATAATATATTGGAAATGAATGATTCTTTTTAATTAATTTATTCTAATAAAACAATACCAAATTAAAAATATATCTTTAAAACTAAATAATTAAATGTAACAAATTGAAAACTAATAAAACTATAATTATAAACTATAATTAGCTCAAAATAACATTAAAAATATATTTATTTCTTTTATGACATAAATAATTCTTTATTGATGCTAATAACATAAAAATGAATTGAACAAATTCATAAATAACTTTTTTAATTTATTACATTAAAATGAAAATAAACACTTTTATAGAATGAAAAGTAGAGTGTGATTCAATAATAAAAA